CTCTGAATTCTAGCTTCTCCGTTTTAGCAGCAGCTGTGTAGATAAAATGTATATCACCGAATTTCCTGTTCCTGTAGGAATGCTTATCTGTCAAAATTCGCATCGGGAATGGTAATTTTCGCCAGCAAAACGCTTTTATTTAGTCGCTCAACAACGGCCTGTATCTTTTCAAACCCTGTTTCAGCGCACACATTCCATCACAAGATTTGCTTATTTCGGTTCCCTCTATCTACCCTTCTTATATCTTGGTATTTTTGAATCACTTTGTATTACGTGTATAAGATAAACATTTAATTTTAATTTCAGACTCTTTAATTTTATTTTGAAACTCTTCCTTTTCAAACTGTATTACCAAGCTCTGCTTTAATTCAACTAAAATTTAAATGTGTAAACGTTAACTGCTCACCTGTTAGAGAAAATGTTTTGTCAATTAAAAATGTCAAATATTGCAATATACATCTCTATAACCTGCTGCACTTTACTCAATGGAAAAATGTGAAGAAAACTTGATAATATTTTAAAACTCAGAAAACACTTCCAGCTCCAGATCTGTTTACATAATTAACAGCCACTTTAAATGCTCGCTTAAATGTAAATTTTTGTGTAATTTAAATGTCCATCACTTAAAATTATACTCGTACTCTGTTAAAATGGAAGGATCAAATATTTCGAACCGAAAATCCATTACTGTTACCAATAATAATAATAATAAAAGTAATAAAAAAGTTGAAAAATTTAAAAAAAAAACCTCCAAAATTTGAAGTTCCAATAACTCTTAATTTGAAATATTATTTTCCAGTCTGTTTAATGGTACAAGAAACGAAATTTTGTGACGATTAAAACAAGGATATGAGAGAAAATATCAGCACTAAGTAATGAGAAACCTGCTTCAAATTTTAAAACATTTCTTTGAGTAGTGTACTGTCGTAGCAGGTACGTAAAAAATTTCAAGAAAGTCTGGTTGGTTAAAGAATCAAAAATTAGTTTCAAGATTTGATACAAATAAACGGATAAACCAAATAAGTATAATTTCGTTTAAAAAACAGTAATTCATAAAAATGAATATCATTTTGATATGATTTTTTAACTATTTGCATGGAGTTTTCTCTCAACTTTAATATGTTTAGATCCCCCAGTGATCGAGTAGATAAGACAAAATTTTAGGTAATTTGACCCCGTTCTCAAGCACGCGTGCTCTTATGGTTCTCTTTATGCATAACGTGAATAGGTGTTGTGGTGTTGGTGTAAGAGGAGGGATGCCTTCGTGGAGGACTTTCTAAGGGAAACTGGCTCGTATACACGTCACACATGGGGAAAACCACGAAAACGGCCATGCAGCCAGCCCGTTCGCGGGATTTGAACCTCGGACCGAACTACCAGTGTTCAGCGACTTTACCGCTCGGCCGCTGGTGGGCCTAACGTGAATAGGAGTCAGCTTCCTTTAGAAAGACATCCAGGCATCCCTTCCAGTAGGCAGATAGCCTTTGCGTGCTTTACTATCACCAGATAAATATAAAAATACAGTCCCTTGTATGCTTCGTTATAATTTTTTGTGCGAATGATTTTTGCGCGATTTTTCCCAAGAACCATTCTGCCACGAAAAATTAAAATTTGGTACGTTTATATTTTAATTTCAAAGGTTCAATATTTTGCAGTGATCCAATATCTCTTTTTGTTTATGTTTATATAGCAGTTAATAAGCATCCTAAGCTTGGGGGAATATCGGTTTCTTGCAATAATATGGCTAATAATAATAGCCGACATATCAACATTATTTCTGCGCTAAATTTAATTCACTAGTTCTTCCTTTTGCGTAAGAGTACTAACTGGTGATCCGAATCTGCAATTTAGCTCACAGCGGGCGAGCGGTAAAGTCGTTAAACACGGGGAGTTCGGTCCCAGGTTCGAATCCCACGAACGAGTTGGCTGCAGGGATGTTTTCCCCGTGGTTTTTCTCTTGTGTAACGTGTATACGAGTCAGTTTGCTTTAGAAAGTCCTCCAAGAAAACATTCTTTCCCTTAGGCAGATAGCCCTGGAGGCTTTTGCCATAACACGTAAAGCAAACCAAAACCGAATCTGCCATTAATTTATTCTTATGAAAAATTATACTATCATATTATATTAATTTTCACTTCTTTACTTCAATCTAAGTTCCTCTAAAACAGAAAAAGTAATCTGCTGTTAATTAAATTTTCTAGTTGTTGAGATCATTGACAATCATTTCAATTTGAATAATCGCTGAAAGTTATAATACATGCATCATCGATTTTCTGCATTTCGAATTCTTCAACCATGCCTCTGTTATAAATGTTACTTGTATCATATTTATGTTACCTTCTGCTAATATTTTGCTATCAATAAATGTGAAAATGCTACTTTGCGTGGACTGCATTAACAGATTTTTAACTGTCGTAAAATAGCATTGTAAAGCAACGGATGTTTTATGTCAGGCTATTCTGTCCTCCGCCAGTTCAAAACACTACCATTGAACTGCATATACCGAGGATTGTAAGTGCGACAACATCTTTCAAATTCTCCAAAATCTAAAATTAAGGAATTTTAGGAAAGATCTCTAATAACTATATGGATCTGGGTTTATTATAACATCACTAGAGGAGAAATGATTTTCCAGATTAGCATTTTTTCTGTTATCTGTGATCTGTGTTAAAGAAGCCAGATAAAATATTTAGCAAAAAGGTAAAGCGTATTGAGATTTTTTTTTTTTTTTTTTTTCCCTCAGAAAATTTTGAGAGTAAAACATAACTTTTGTATACTAAGTAAAGACTCAGAATATGAAGAGCTGACACTGGAAGATTTCATAAAAGAAGTGACAACGATTTTTTCTTCCTCAAACATTCCTATTTCTTTGTTTGAACCGTGTACCACGGGTATTAAGTGCACTGAAAGAATAAAAATTTGGCTGCGCTCAACAGTGACTGATGATCGTTTGGATGACTACAAAAAAAGAAAAATTCAAATATGTAAGAAATTCTAGAGACGTTAATCTCAGACAGGACTAAAATTATTATTGTAAAAGTTAACAGAAGAAAAAATTTGTTTCAAGAATCTCAATGTTCCCATTCCCCAATCTTCAACAATCTGCTTACTCATGTATTTAAGTCCTTAACTCATTTCCTCGATTATTCGATTACGCGATTATTTGATTACAGCAGATTAAGGAAAGGGATGGCTTCGTGGAGGAGTTTTTATAGAAATTATCTCGTATTCATTTTACATGGTATTTGCGAAAAATCACGAAAATCCCATTTCAATGCGATTCATTCTTAGGCCAGATTACTATTGCTCAGCTGTCTTTCGACTCGACCACTAGCGGGCGTATTTACCAATTTAATTTCTGAATCTAATGTCCTTTGCCCCCTCCCGACTCGGATTCTGGCTGCAAATGCACTTAAAGGCATTGCATTAGTTGATTATTCATGATAATTCAATAAGGAAATTAATAACATAATAAATTGCCGACATATGCATATATGAATCGAAATTAAACTGACTCATAGATTCATCAGAGTTTCAAAATATAAAGGAAAAGTAACTTATATTAGTAAAACTCTGGTAAACAACAAAATAGAAGAAGAATAAGTCCAAGAATTTATGAAGAAGAATACTGAATAATCTATAACTTTTTTCCTTCAAAGCAATAGAACTACAGGAAGACATTCCCAGAATGCTAGTTTACTGATATTCGGCGAGAGTTCGCTAGAAAAAATTTCAGGAATCAAAACTGTGCAAATATAATAAATAAAGTGTATTCACAGCTAACATAATAGTAACAGCTAAGTATTCCAACCAGTACTACTGAACTATGCTATGCATTCCTATGCAATAATCCCGTCAAACAAGAATTTTCCGCAATTAAAATGGATGATACCGGTTTTGAAACAAGCAAAAAAATGTAACGTTAAATTAAAAAGGAAGAAAAACGGACACATACCAGAAAATCACTCATTAATAACAGGAATATGTGCAGAAAGTAAGAAACATATGTATGCAGAAAAACTGAAACAAGAGGTTAAAAAAAGTGTAGGGCTACCATCTGGAAGAAAAACGACGGACACATACCAGAAAATCACTCATTAATAACAGGAATATGTGCAGAAAGTAAGAAACATATGTATGCAGAAAAACTGAAACAAGAGGTTAAAAAAAGTGTAGGGCTTCCATCTGGAAGAAAACCAGAGAAAGGGTAAAAAAAGAGTTGTTGCTTAACGTTAAAAACTTGTTAAAGTTGCTAAAGGTGAAAATCAACGTAACGAGGAGATTTGGCTCATTTAATTAATTTGCATGCGAATTCTTATCCTACAGCACTATTCAGGTATTTAAAAAGAAATTTATGAGGCAAAGAATTTAGAAGTGAGTAATTTATTCCTATAGCTGAATGGATGCGCATCAAGTAACAGCCTCTTAAATGAATTTGGCATTTCGTTATATTTTCTTTCCTCGTTATTGGATTATCATGCTTGAATTCATAACTCGTACTTTACTTATATAAACACATAAATTCGTATAGATGTAAATGCATTCAATATATGAAACATGTATAATACACTGTATATAGATGTTTTACGACTATATACATACTTTTTTTTTCTGACTGCGTACGTCCATGATTTCGTTCTCATAGGTTATGTATATATATATATATATTTTTATATTTGTCCGTGCACACATATATTATCTTTGAAGCTATATAAATTTCTTAGTGAAGCGTATATATTTAGTTCAAAGACTCAGATACATTGTAACATACTGATGAAGGAAACGAAGAAATTCGGATAAAATTTCTTTCCGATCTCTTCTGCGCTTTTGCATTCCGCTAAAGCACCTGAGGCAGGCGGACGAGATCTGAAACCATTTGAAGAATCCGCTTTGAACCTATTTGAAATATCACTAGGAAAGCATTTTGCCGTTTGTGACCGCAAAGAGCCACAACAACTAAATCTGCGCCCTAACTGAAAGAGAAGGGGAAAAAAGAGCTTACCACTATCCCTTACTGCTGCGGAGGACGATGCAAACATTCACGGCTTCGTCGACGGAGGAGCCGGCAAAGACGTTGCCGGCGAGCCTGGCTGTTCTGAAATGAAGGCACGCCCAGCACTTCAGGTGATAGACCACGCCATTTCCCGCTAAATAATTCATAAGGATCTTTAGACAGCTAATGCGAAAGGCATTCTTCTATTATTTAACAATGCGTAATAATTTATAACTGGTTTTAAATATAAGATGCCGGTTCTGCATTATATATAGATCGCCAGGAGAAAACGGAGCGGACCAAAGCGAAGAGCAGCCATTTCCCCTTCCCCCCCTCTTTGATGGAAACCTGGGGGAAAGAGAGTTGAATTTCGCATCGTCGTATAATATTCATTTGGTAAGAGTTTTGGAAATCCTCATTACCTGTTTTCTTCCGTCTCGTGACGGATTTTATCTCGTTTGTTTTTATGTTCAAGCTAATATTGTTCTCCGTACTCCTATTCTTTTTATCTATACATAAGGCGGAAAGAATCAAAAGGTCCCGTTTAATAAATAAAATAAAATCATTTCATTTACGTCAGCTTTCTTCTGAATCTTGGCATGACGATCTAAGGTCGAGGTCTTGATTCAACTCTGACACACTTTGTAAAACAATTACATCAACGAAGAAGTAACTTACAACATACGCACGTATTTTTTAACACAGCAGTGCATAATTCATGTCATATGTAAAGAGCAATTAATTTTATGACTTTATGTTGAATGAGAATTGAGGTAATTACCACGGAGCTTAAGAAGATTAGTAAAATCAAATTGTATTAAAATGTTAAGCTCAAAAACACGCAACATATATACCTAAATGAATCAAACAGCGTTTGCAATTGATTTAAATATAAAGAAGAGAGCGATAGTTATTATTTTTTTTTGTTTGTTTTATTAGATTACGGCAAAGCACTCGAGGGCTATCTGCCTTAAGGGAGGGATGCCTTCGTGGAGGATTTTCTAAGGGAAACTGGCTCGCATATACGTTACACATGGGGAAAACCACGAAAACGCCCATGCAGCCAGCCCGTTCGCGGAATTCGAGCCTCGGACCGAACTACCGGTGTTCCGCGACGTTACTGCTCGGCCGCTGGTGGGACAGGGAACGATAGTATAAAAAAGATTAAATTATAAACAAATATATGAAGCCTCCCCCAAAAAAAGAATTGTTCTTGCCAAAAGGGATAGTGTAATAAATCATGAAAAAGATTAAACCTTCATTGTACCATCTATAAGATAGAATCCGATCCACTTAAAATTTTAGGTCAAAATTTCGTACATTGCATAAATTGGAAACTTAGTTCTATAAACACAAATTTGTGTCACTTTACACGAAGTAAAAATATAGCCGTTAAGTATAAATACATAAAGCACGTATTTGATTTCTGTAAGAGCGTATTTCTTATATGAATTAAGTATTAGTAAAGATGCGACAAATTGAAAAAAAAATGGCTTGCATAGTTATATGAAAATCAGCTCAGTTTCTGTTTATTGACATCGGCCTCGTTTAAACTTACCATGGTGTGACATTTTGTTTGTACAATTTTTATTATTAAGGGCAAAATGCAAAATATGCACAAGACATATGAAATAATGTAATAAAATTAAAAGCTGCTGAATTTTTACATAAAAGTGAAAATGAAATGCCCTTTCAGGAAATAAAATTACTAGGGAAAAAAATTCTTACGATCCACTGATTTTGTTTGCTTTTGGGTCAGAAATTTTAAATATCCTTTTTTTAAGCATGCATTTTGTAATCGCTTTTACGTATGTATGCTAAGCAACAGAGAATATAAACATAAGAAATTAAAAATGTTTCTTTAAGACTTCTTTTCTGAGTGGAAGGGTAAAAATCATGTAACATGATGAAGAATATATATAGCACAACGATACTGCAGGAGATCTACGCAAATTCAGTTTTCTATGGAATTGAATTTAGTCTTTAGGCGATAATCCATTATTCGTTGCTCTATTTTCTGGGCAGTTATTAATTGTTTAAAAAAAGGTACGCAAGGTGAGGACAAAAATAATTCAAATCCTCTCAGAGGCAATCTAGAGCTGCCTCCGGATGCATTAACTTGAGGACTTTGCATTAATATAATTAATTTAAGATGCTTAACTAATTTAAACGGTTTGTTTTGTTTAAATTAATCCAGTGACAGCTTCAGAAAAATGGCCGTAAAAAGCTAATCAATGCTACCTTCTCAACAAGCCAGTATCCATCTTGATCTATTCAAACGGATAATTTTTCGTTATTATTCCAGTTCAACTTACGTGTTAAAACCATAGAAATCGTGTTTTTGATTTTTTTCTTTTTGTTTTTGATTTATGAATTTTGCTTCTTTGAAAGTTTCTTTGCGTTTGGTTTCGATTACGTGGTATTAAAACAATTTTTTAGCCATATCTTACTCTTATGTATTTACACACACACACACACAGATATATATATATTAATTATAGTATGTATAGAGTTATAGTATCTATTTATCTCTATATATAAACAAAAAGTAAGAAATTTAGAACCAAATTCACAGAGACACGAAAAACATGAAATTCAATGACAGTAAAATCCAAAATTTCCAGTAAATGTCTAAAAAATATCAATCAATAGTCAGCAAACCTGAATAATTCCCTAAAACTACAGATATGTAAAATAAAAAAAGTACAAAATATATAGGAATAAGGAATGAAAAAAAAAAAAAAAAAAAAGAGAGATTCTACGTTATTAAGAGGAGGTAGATCACATTCAATTGAATTCCTCCTCCCAGGAAAACTACTGTTTTTCTGTTCATCCAAAATTAGCTGATGAACCCTTCTAAATTATTTTATTATAACACTTCACCCGAAAATTATGAATGTCTCCGCTACGCAGAGGAATTCTGGAAATTATATAAAAATATTAAAAAAAAAAAAGATCCATGTGACATAAATTTAGTGTCTAATAAAGTAAAAAAATAATTAGACACATTTTACTGAAATTAAAATTTAATAATACGAAATATACATAAAAATTGACAGAAATCTATGGTTTCAGAACTTACCATTGAGCGAATAAAGAAATAAAAGACAGAAATTTAAAAGCAGAAGCCAATGGGTGCCAGTTTGGTGTCACTGGCGAAACAAAATGGCAATGGCAAGGTTGAAATCTCCTAAAGGATGAATTAAAAGCAAGTAATTTACAATTTCTTAGATTTGGAAACCATCATAGTAATGCAAGAAGGAAAAGAAGGGAAAAAAGAAGCAAATGATAGAAAAGAATAAATTCCTCGCGTCATGGGGTTATCAGGACGACTTTGAATAGGGTAGTCCGTCTATTAATAAAAGTATAGTGAAGAAAAATTATACAGTAAGGCTAACATACACAAATTATATTATAAAATCCTTTAAAACACCCTCCATCTTTTCATTCTTTATTTGAACTTTCAGACAAAAATACATCACTTTAAAATATTTTATAGGGCGTAGATAACTCCAGATGTTTAAGTAGACTGTTAAAGACGTTAACTGGAATTGCATTTTATTGTAAAATTTTAGTAACAAGAAGAATTTTTAGTTATTTTTCAATTTCTGCTTATAATTATGGTAATTTGATTAAAAATTGTATTTGCTATAACTTGTTCAGAGATTTTCGTATTCCAATTTATAAGTTTAATTGTTGAAAAACTGAATTCTCTTCTTTTATCAAATAGTCTTACTACCGTACGATTATAAATGCTAAGATCCAGGTAATCTCTAATTAATTGATTCTTATTGATCTTGTTATGTTTTAAATAGTTGGGGTAGATGTTGCTAATTTCAATCAGGTTATTATTATTATTCAATGTAATACTATCATCAATATATCTGAACGTGTGCTCAGATTTATTAAAATCATTTTCTGAAATATTTTTAAAAAGCTTTTATTCTTTAGAAAACAACTAGAGGTTAAACAGATGTCAAAGACATAGCAGATGTTATTGTAAACTTTTTATTTATTAATTTTTCAGCTATTTGCGAGTTTTTGTTAACAATCCAGGGGTAGGTTTTATCAGTATTAACTTTATCAAAAATTAAATTACATATTAATTTAAGTAGATTTGTAAAAATATAAGCATAATTCTTGTAGTTTCTTGTAATATTTGCAATAAGTCTAAATTTGACAGGATTTTTAATGAAATTTCGGAATTGCATATAAATTTGCAAATCTATTGTTTGTAGTATAAAGAGAAATTTAACATTTTTGGTGAAAAGCATAAATTTTGTTGATTATTAACATTTCTTTATTTTTGGAAATACTATAGACTGTTGAATTATGCAGCTCTTTTTCAATAAGAGAATTGCAGAACTTTTTTCATAAAATACTAAAATTGTTGCTTGCTTTACCAATTTTGGTAATAGTAAAGTGTTTTTTCATTTGCAAAAATTTCTGACGTAAAGCCTTCCAATTTTTAATTTCATCAAATCCTTTAATTTTTATCAATATTTGTTTTTGCTTTATTCTAAAATTTCATTTATCCATTCCTTGAAAAGATGCGTAGATAACTTAGTAATGAACTTGCTTTCAATATGAAGTTATCAATATCTGCAGAAATACTTTCTATACAATTGAATTTAGGAATGTAGTTAGTTCACTGGTCTAAATTTTGAACCTTTCTTCATCAGCATATTGCGCGGAAATAATGCTGGAATAATTTTGTTTTAAAATAAAAATTTATGATACTATATATACATATATATATATATCAAAAGTTTTTATTATATATATATATATAAAGTAGAAAAAGGTGTTAATATATATATATAATTTACATATGCTATGTAAATATATATAATTTACATATGCTCTTAAATGATATTGTAAATTATCAATAATACTCATGTATCATGCAATAATACTTATTTTTATTTTTAATTATTTGCAATTATATGAAAAGAAAGTAACTATGTTGAGGAGGCATTCAGAATTTTAGGATGAGTTTCATCAGCTAATTTGGAAGGAACAGAAACACAGTGGTTTTCCTAAGGAGTGAAATTCAGTTGAAATCTGATCTACCTCTTCTTGATCACGTCGAATCATATTTTGATTGTATTCCTTTTCTTCTTTTTTAATATATTTTTCTGCAATTTTGTTATTTTCGAAATTTTTTCTGGTTTAAAAACACTGAGTTGATGGGGATTTATTTGATTTCTGCAAATATAATACAGGGCTATAATATTTGGTGGCAACAGT